TACTCACTTTCGAAAAAAAAACTCTCAACTAATTAATAACCTTGTAAAATCAACTTTTTTATTAATAATGAAACTAACCTTTAACTCCGATTTACGCCGCCATAGACGTGGTATAACACTAAACACAAGGCTTAAATAAACCAATATTATAATGTTTTCATATATTCTAATGATAGTAGTTACACTTACACAATGGATTACATTGTAACGACGACCCTAATTAAAACTGTGAATACGAATCGTGGGAGACTAGCTTAACTTCTACTAAACAACCAATTTTACAATTACAATTGGCGAGCACAGATTTTTTCTTCAAAAGACTACCATTGAACGTGAAGTAATATTTTAACCGCAAAAAACCAAAAAGAAACGACAAGGCATTTTTGCTGACATATGCAACGTAAAATCCTATAATTGCGATCTGCATATTAATTTATACAATGGCCCAAGAGATTTGTCTACTCTTGGCTGAGGTTGATCAAGGACCCACGTCAAGAAAATATAAAGATGTATGGGGTCCAAAATGGAGTAATGATAAAATAGATGACTTGATGATATTTTGGGGGAAAAAAGAATTGGGAGGGAAGGTGTCATTTCTTGTCAACCCCTACGTTAGACTCCAAGTTTTTTGATACTGTAATGGTTAGTGGATTCATATTCATCCAACAAAAATGTTAGGTTATGATGGCTCTTAGCCTTTTCTTTATTTAAATTCGTCTCCCTCATTCCTAATTTCATATATACTTAGGTCTGACGCTAGGCCGGTGAGTTTCTGATGATGCTTACTCGGACCATATAGTCATTCATAATGGAACAACAATACTTTATTGATTTGGATCATACAAATTCGTAGACATGATAATTAGCAAGACATACAAACTCGAATACATATCTATAGATGCTCAAAATATGAGAATTTCATCGACTTCTATGGTATAATGTTGTAATCTTAAATATGACCATTTGGGTCAAACTGAGTGACCATACCATCTTGAATGATGAAAGCAACTTATATAACTATAGTTTGGATTAAAAATTGTATAATTTGTTCGGCCACGCTAACAAAACAACTAATCTATTAAAAGAATAAACATGTCATGACTATTGTATTGGATTTTTTTTTTTTTTGGTTCAACAATTAAGAACAAAAATATTCTGTTTCTAGTATAAATACCAAATGTGACTCTTCATTGTGGGATTAGGACCAAATTATGAGCATTCCCTTGGTTAGGTTTGAACTTTGAATTACGCTTCAAATACAATAAAAGAAACAAGTATTGATACGAATTTAGTCAAGAAAAAAATATCATTATTTAGTTTTCTTTCTTAGTTGGATTTAACTACAATTATATTATACAGTTTAAAATACAATTCTTTCTTAATTATACTTACTTTGTTGGGCTCTGAACTTAGGCCCAATATTTTTTCAAATGTTTTATAACCTCTACAATTCGTCATGACTGATAAAATGTATAGGATTTGAATTTTTATAAAGTTCATAACTTGGTTTAAAAAAAAAAAAAAAAAGAAGAAGGTCATAACTACACGCTCATGAAGAAGGAAATGGGCCATTAAAGGTTATCCATTTCGATGCATGGGATCCATGGAAGTGAAGCATTCACCGTTTCTCAAGCCAAAAAACTGACGTTTCTTACATAATTAACGACCATGGGATCTATATAAGAAACGATCTATCATTATCCACACAACGTAAAATTTTATTAGTCCTAATCTTATACGTAAGTTTTGTGTTTAAAGAACCGTTCCTGAAACGTTTGAGACCTAGTTTGGATAGACTTGAGAAAAAATGTCTCTTTCCAAAACCAATGATATAATAACTTTGATCTTAATAACAATTTTAACTATGCGTTGATCTCTGTTCCCCGGTCAAGAAAGATTTATCCTAAAATTAATCTTTCATTTTGTGTTGCATCAGACGTTCACTCATTTCTTTAGAAAATCATAGTCGACGCTGAGTTGGCCAAAGCACATGAGAGCATGGGTTGCATGCATATATCAAATATCATACCTGTATAATTTGAGTTAAGTTTGGTTGATGTAACCAATCAATCAAACATTTGCAACAAACACATGATTGTCTTATATCCATCCATGATCCATATATATACTAATAGTAGACCAGTATGGGCGCTAAATGTGAAGTGTAGTAGCTGGCAAAAAATGAACTGAGAAGAAGAATCAACAATAATAATATACATGAGAAATCATGTTAACATTTATGCAAAGCACATGTACGATTTATAAGATATATATAGTCCGGCCCGATAGAAAACCCACTAGTTCCATGCAACGTGTTTTATTAGGGCATCTCCAACAGGGGTTCTGTTGTGAGTATGTCTTCATTAAAAAGTTGAAAAATAAATCAATAATCAGAAATAAACAGAGAACTGATTCTCTTAAGAGAGGTTAAAGAACTTCACAGAACCCATGATATGGACATTTTTCATTGGTTGAAATCTATATTTGATGTAAAAAATAAAACTCTTCTTTTCTTTAATTTCTTTTGTTTATTTTTGCCCAAAAAAATAAAACACTTCTCTCTCTCCTCTCAATCTCTCTCTATCGATGAAAAAAACTCTTTTCTCTCAATCTCTCTTCTCTCAAACACTTACGATTTGTATTTTTTTTTTTTACATTTATGTCATGTTTTAAATAAATTTATGAATTGCAATAAGTTTTTTTTTAATTAAAGTTATGTTTATAAATTTTAACAAATTTACTTCTAGTTAAAATATTATGAATTTTTGAAAATCTATATATATATTTTTTAGAGAACCCCAACTTGAGAACTCTATCATTGGATATACATAAATTAAATAAATTTGTAAGATATTCTCAACCAAAAAAATTTCAAAATTATTAATAAAAATATTGAAGAGAACTCATTATGAGTTCTCTTGGATGGAGTTGGTCTTATGTACATCAGGAAAAGAATCGGTGCGATCATAGACTTGGATATTCAATACAATCATCATCTGGTTCACGATTATTTTATTTTATGTACACCGTATGGACTATATACTATTTTAAATAGAAAGTCACATATTAGTGTATCATTTTGCAAAAAGAAAAACGTAATAGTATTTTTTTGGTAGAAAGAAAAACGTAATAGTATTACGTAGTGAAATAGTTTAATTTGAATGTATAAACAAAAGATTATTTTCGAATATGTGTTATGGGAAAAAAAAATGTATAAAATGTTCCGAGATCCCGCCAAATTAACCCGAAAAAAAACCTCAAAAGAAGGAAAGAACATAAAATAGTAGGGAGCTGTTTCCGTAAACTACGGTGCTTCTCCTCTTCCATGAACATAACATGTAAATTTCAAATCATAATATATAAAGAAACTGTATAAATTTATAGTTTTTTTTTTTGATAAAATAGTTTCTTTTGTTAAACAGAGAACCATGCAGCTGCAGTGGGAATGTTACGTATGGGGGCAATGATCGATCGGACGGTGAGAAATTAATGATGAAAGAATGGGACCTCAAGTGACCTATCAGGCACGTTAATTTGCCGAGAGAAGGGTAATAACACCAACAACTCCAAAATGGTCACTCAGATATATAGCCACACACATAGCCATCTTTAATTTGTTCAAGCTGTCAAAAACCCTAAAACTTCGAAACTAGCCTAGCCCACTTGAGATTTCATCATCCTTCGATCATTGTTCATTATCACACATACAATTGCATGTGATTCGTAGAGTGGTCCATTTCGTTAAATCACTGTACCACGTTCTCTCAAATGTAGTATTGAAATTGTGATTGATCAAATTAAAAAAAAAAGAAAGTGATTGATTAATCAGCCCCTTAAGTGTCTTAATCCTTCTTTAATACTTGATTGAAATTATAAACTGAAAATAACTAGGCTCAGATTGTAAAAAATGAAGAAAAAGTAGTAAAGATATTTGTGATATTATATATTAGAAAAGACTTGTGCAACCATGTAGTCCCAATCAACATTTCAACAATGGTAATGTAAACATATTATATGGAGTAATATTAATGAGAAAAAAGACAAATAGAAATGAGAGATCGATGATCGCGTCAATGTCGAGTATGGATGGCTACAAACGAGAGTTTGGAAAAGCTCAGCTGTCGAAAACACGTGCATAGTATCTATCCAGTTGGCACTTACAAACATTGCATAGTGTCGGTCCAGAAACATTTAACAACACACCCCAACTCTTAGGAACAGACACACACACATTTGTATTATTATTAGCCTCATCAATTTCACTATCATATAAAAGTTTTTGGTCCCAAATTACTTTCCAGTAGCTCTTTTATATTTGTAAACTAAACAAAATCGAGCTGGCCGGAGAGCCAAAATAAAAATAAATGAATAGCCAATTTACTTAAAAACCTAAACCTGTGATCGAGAAGAAAATGTATTGTCGATGGGATAAATATTTTAAGACTGTAGAGTAAGGAACTCTAGAGTCTATATTTATCAAGATGTGATATCTAATGGTATTTCAGTTACCAAACTGTATTATTTTGTTGGTAAATGTCATACTTCCAAGAGGTGGTAATGAACAACAAAACTCATACATTTTATAGTAGTTTTCTAATGTATTTAAAGATTTTATTGCAAAATTTTATTTTATTGTAGACTTTATTGGCTGAACATTTGGTGCTTATTGTAATCTTAATATAAATAACAAAACAAAACACAAAAGTTTAGTGAATCCATCCAGCACGTGAATATATACGCTTACGAAATTTAGGAAATAATTGAAACCCGTGAAATAATTACAAATTAAACGACCGACGTATACTATTATTATTACAATTTTTGTATTTGGATAATGCTTTCTAATTGCACAAAACAGATCGAGCGTGTGGACGTAATCAAGCATTTTTTATAAACAACATATTCCACAATTGTACTAAATTAAAAGACAACCAAAAAAAGCATAGAAGACTCAAGACTCTATATAAATATGTAAGCACCCGCACGTTCGTTTGCATCACAGCTCATTGAAGTGTTGTCATTAAACAAAAAAACACAATGGAGGAGCCGAAGAAATACAAGAGGATGGTAGTGAAGCAGACGATGAACAAGAACAAGAAGAGGAAGAAGAACAAAACGGGTCATGGATCCGGGTTGCTCCAAATGAAGGTGAGGAGACTCCAAATACTGATACCGGGTGGGCAAAGATGCAACCACCCGGATCTGCTTTTATCAAAGACACTTGATTATATTGTGCATATGAAGTTGAAGCTAAGAATTCTTAAAGCTCTCTCCGATATGTACTCTCTTTGAACTTATCGTAAGATATATTATTCGTAACATTATTCTTCTTCTCTCCATCGTCCTCTGTACTATATAGATTTGATCCAAAGTGTTGCCAAAATTAATGTTTGATATTCCGTATAATGGTTTTTATCATTTGTAGTATTGCTTTTTGTCGCTTTTACCTTCTTTTATATAGTTTCTTGTCTATATTTATATGTGAATCCGACAATTAGTTGGAAAATTTGACTAATCTGATACTGTCCAAAGCGTCTAGTTCCTTTTCATCTTTTTCAAAAGCGTTCGTATGATATTTATTTCAGACAGTGAAACTTAGATTATTGTAGCCTTTGTTATTTGTAGATGATTGTACATTACGAATTAGTTCAGTAGTACAAAGTGGAATTGGTTAAGAAAATTATCTGATTCCATCTACTCGATCGTCATTCGATGTGTGGAGATTTTGTCACTCAAATCTTGCCAAAGATATAACTTATCTTCGTGGATTTTGAGTTGTAAAGATCTGTATGATTAGAGTGATAAACCTTAAAAAAGAAGAAGACAAGACTCATTATTCTTAAGTAAGAAGAAAAAGATACAAAAAACGTCACGTGTCTTTGACTTAAAGTCTCTTCACGAGGAACCTTCTAAAGCTCTCAGAGTCTTCAAAACACTTCTCAATAGATTCATCATATACTTCTCCGTTTGAACTGCAATCACTTCATGCCCCTTATTTTCTAGAATTTTGATTTATCTTCGAATACTTGAGCTACCTACTCAGCTCCCTTTGACCCTGAGAATCTCCAATGCACCTTCAAATTTGTCCACACTCAAAAGTTTTGTGAAGATATCATCCAAGTTGTGTACTTGTATCTGTATTCTATTAGTAGTAAACTTAACCACTCGAAATGGGATAAAGCCATCACTTCTCATGACTCTCATAACGTGTAACATGACATCTAATATTCCTTTTAAGAAAAAAAAAGTGAACTCAGTTCTTGAAAATAAAAAGCAATAGATCTCTATATGAAAATCACATAGAACTTACACATATTTTGGGAAAACTAAATCTGTTTTGCTAAAGCCTTGAGCCAACCTCCTTTTAAATTGGCTTATGTCAATGCCATATACATAATGAATCTCTGATGAAAATCTTATAATGTTTCATGCCAATGGTAGGTTTAAGCCTTTGGTGAAAATCTCTGATGAAACTAATGAACTTGATAAGCTTTAAGAAGTTTGAATGAATCCCATCAATGTGAAACCTTATGTTGGATGCTTGTTTAACATTGTTGTATACAAGTTTATGTCATTTGGTTCTTCGATTCAAAGCCTAAGTTACCACATAACCACTTTTTTGACAAAGATAAACTTATCTTCTTCTCTTCTTTTTTTCATATAATATATTCCCCAATACAATCAAAGTATGAGACTTTTCTTACAAGACAAGAGCATAATCATAAAATTTCTCCATTCCCTTGCAATGAATCTCAAAATCCCACCTATACCCAAAACTTCTAAATTCCCAGCATAATATTATCAAGGAAGACTGGTTTTCCCAGAAACTCTCAAGACCTGAGACTTTTCATGTATATGGTGGATAGTATCCATATGGGTAACTAACAGAATGAGATCTGTAGTGAAGATTCTGTTGAGTGTTATTATTCATTTGATCTCCAGACTCTATAAGTTTAGGCTTAGGCTTAGGCTTAGGCTTAGCCACGCGCTTGCTGCTCTGATCATGGACTGCTCCAAAGACTATTTCATTAGTTTTCTCACTGTCCTCTTCATAATAAGTATGTGGGATCGACGAGTAATGCCTTCGATGCTGCTGCTTCTGGTGTTGCTGCTTTTCTTGCTGCTGCTGCTGCTGCTGCTGATTGGGGAATTCAGCATCCCAGCTACTGTAGAATGCACGGCTCTGACGCAGCTGTTGCATTTTCTCTGCATCTTTGGACATAAAAGCATAAGTTTTCCTTGGAGTTTGGTTCCTGGGCTCAACAGGAGGAGGTTCGTCTTCGTCTCGAATCACAAAGCTCTCTTGAATCGGCCATGGAGTTGTTGTGTTAAATGCAGCAGACAGCTTTGTTGTCCCTTGGTATTCCTGATAGCTGATGCCTGTCTGCTTTTTTTTGAGGATCTCCATAGCAGAATCCCAAGCATTTGAAACGAGTTTTCCCAACGATACCATAAAGCTTTCCTCTTGTTTCTCTTGCTGCTCATCTCCAGTTGGAATCAGAGATGGTCTAGATGGTTTCATAGGCTTTTGATCAGGATCCATTTCGAACAGTTCTTGATCCTGTGTATGAAAGGTTTGACTAGTTTTAGAAGAACATCTATAAGACAGGGTAATGTTTGGGATGTTTTAGAGAATATTTAAAACACTTACGTTATGAGAAGACACGATAGAACCGACTCTTCGTTGCAACAGAGCCAGCATATAACCAAAGAAACCTGCAGCTACGAGAACTGCAATCCCTGCGATATGTTGAATCCAGAGACGGGTTATTTAAAGAATAAAACGGCAACAAACAGTAAGAGGGTTGGTATTTTTCTAAGTTTTACCAAGAGGAAACCCGCTTCCATACTGATAAGCACAGTCGTCGAAATGGAGTTGAATCTCTCTGATGGCTTTGTTTCCTCGGTCAATAACGAGTAGGGAACAACTACTTCCAACATAAACAACATCAAAATCGTTGGAGAACTTAGCATCTTCACTTGGTCCATCCACATGCCCTCCATTTCGAACCGTTTTCCCCCCAGCAATTGTTGTGACTCCTAAAATGGAGGTTTTAAAACTCAGTACAAGAAAAAGTAGAATTCATCACAAAACTCCCTAAAACCCTTCCATGAATGTAATTATTATCCCAATCTCATATATAAACAAACTCTTACCCCCTTCACTTATCTTCCTGATAGCATTATTCACAGTGTCAGCCACATATATGTTTCCTCTGTCATCAACCGCAAGCCCGTTAGGATGATTCAGCTTCGCATCACGTAATCTCCCGTCCACATGACCCGGATATCCTTCAGGGGAGCCAGTAACCAGTCTCGGCCTACTATCTGCAAATGTTACCAATAGTCCCCACATAATTAAAACTCTGATCCAGATAGAACATTTGAAAAACAAGAACTAAGCCAAGTTGCTAGATATCCAGAAAGAAACTAAGTCTTCATTTTCACTTTTTGTAATGACTTGATAACATACAAATTAGTTTGAGCTGCAGGTAAGTAAAGCATTGTTTCTATTCTTGACCAATTCCATAGAGAAACACTTTTTGTTTTAGATCTCATCTTTGAAAAAGTCAGATTCAGGAAAGAAAGTGAAAAAAGTACTAAAAAACTATACCCGTATACTGATATCATCCCCGACAAACTCATTCCAAATACGACAAAGATACAGCAAAAAAAATCACCATATAATAGTAATATAGCTTAGACTGGAATTTTCAATTGAGGTACCAATAAAAATTCTATCAATTTCCATATGCAGCATCTTGTACAATCCCATGTGCATTCAGTTTTAGGTGATGACAAAGAACAAGCGTGGTCTCAACATCATCAAAATCATATAGAAGAATCTCAATCTCTTTCAAATATATAAAAATCCACAATGAGTTCTGACACAAACCCAGAAACTGATTTTAAAAGAAACCATAACTGAACTTACATAGTGAAAGAGAAGATGAGATCTTGTAGATGTTACTGTTCTCAGAATCCAGAATAAGTAGCTCTCCATTGGGCAATACCTCAATCGAATACGGTTCGATACCGAGTTTGCTTCCATCGAACACTGTCTCTACTTCATACCCATTTTCGAATTTCACCATCGATCTAGTCGCAATAGCTGATTAACAAAAAGGAGAAACCTTTATTGTCAAAAAAAAACTAATCTTTGAAAATAAAAAAGCAAACTTTATGATCAGAACAGGGAAAAGAATCGAACTTGTTTTGGTGGTGGTTTTGAGTGACCATAACCATTTCATTAGAGAAGAGCCATGATTTGAGATGAACCCACTAACAATCTCTGCGATTAAAGACATAAGATTTGAAACAAATTAAGCAAAGAAGCCAAGTGAGGGAGATGATGGTAAAGTTTAAACAAACGTGATTAACACTTACTTGCAGGAGAATTAGCTGAAGGAGCTGAAGATACAAACCCAGAAAGGAGTAGAACGAGAATACTCAGAACAAGAAAATCTCTACCCATTGATTCGATTTTTGAAAAAGGAGACAAGTTTTAAACTTGAGAAGAAGCGGCAGAGGAAAAGAGTAAGAACCCTAGTTTCATACACAGAGATTGTTCTTGGGAAAAGCAAAGATAGGCAGAAGCATAATAAGAATGGCGGACAATGCAAAGATTTAAACTTTGAGGTTACCTCGATGAAAGAGAGAATTTTTATAAAAAGAGAGAGAACAGAGAGAGAGAGGTTAGATTTTTGCAGAGTTTGTTGATAAGCAAAAAAGAGTGAAGACAGTGTCTCAGTGAGAAAAAAGGAAAGGGGAAAGGTTTTAATTAGAAGAACGAGACAGAATAAAATAGAGAGAGACGAGTGAGTCCATCCATGTGATTGCGATCAACGTCGTTACTTTTTTCTAATTAAATTATATGATGATTTTTTGTGTGTGTGTATGGGTTGGTGATTTATTTAATTTTGTTGTTTGTTTAATTAGCAATATCAAAATTTAACTTTTTTTGAGTTTAGAAAGAATAAATACCTACTATATTCTCTGGACTTGGTGATTATATAAGTTTAGGTTGTGTATCAGCTTTTATATCATCAAAAACAATAAGAAAGATCAGCTTTAACAATTTGTATGTTTTTATTTGATGGAATATATTCTATAACTACAGAATAAGTACAAATGTTTATATCATATATTAGATTTTTCTGGTAAAGATTGTAACTTTTTAGTATGAAAGTTTATAGTATGGAGCTTTATTCACTTTTATCGTTTTAGATAATATTTTGTGAGCATAAATGTCTTTATATAGTATATATATATTCATCCTAGAATCCTATAAAAAATAAAAATTTTAAATTTATAAACTACACTGATAATTTTGTCATACACTAAAATAAAAAATTAGTCTTCAAATTAATATTCCAC